GGAGGGGGAGGGATAACAGTGGGAGAAATCCTGATGTAGGCAACAGCGGAGGGCAGTGGGGATGAAGACAGCAAAACATCATGGAATGTATGCACCTATGCAACAATCCTGCAGGATGCAGGACGCGAACATGTACCCCAGAGCCCAAATACATTTAAAAAAAAAAAAAAGGAAAAAAAATGGGACATATGATCTAAGAAGTATGAGTGCACTTATAGGAAAAACAGGATGAAATACCAAAAAGTTGGCCTATTCCAGAGAATCCAGAATATGTAGTTGCTATTTGAGCAAAGGGGTGTGCCAATGTGCTATGGAAAACAGAACTCAAGAGATGGCATGAAAAGAACTTGTCCATCCTAACGCTATCTGTTAGATCATAGGTATTTTGTAATAAATTATGGTCCTCCAAGTCTTTTTCTTCCCTATTGTCCTCACCAGACCTCTTCACATATCCTTTTCTTTACAGAATGACAGCATTAAAATGTCTTTCTCCCATTAGAGATAAAGTTGTTCTCAACCTTGGCCCAAAAAAGAATTATGCAGTAGCAACTCAACCATTTGGGTAACAGATATCACCTAGCCTAATAAAGATTATAGCAAGGATCAAGTTACAGTGTCATTCTAAATCAGCAATCTGAATCTAAATTTTAATTGGTCAGTGGGCACTAGAATTTAAAATTCCCAAATTTTGTAAACACAAATTTTACCCTAAACTTTTTACAGTCTCACCAAAATTTTAATACAGATTCAAAATATACATTCTTACCAAGAAAACACCATCTTCCAAATTCAAATAATTTGGAAGAGTCAATGGAGGATTGCCAGCTGGCTCAAAAGTCTCATTAACAGAAAAAAAAAAAAAGATTCTGTATAAGAATTGCACCTGTTTATGATTCACATTTTCTTAACGAACTTCCTACTGTGTCTCTTGCTGACAAGTAAATGTATGATCTTAAATGCATGCAGCAGCTAGATATATAATGCTGTTGAAAGTGTGAATTCACCAGTGGATATAGAACATTCATTAAATGAGGATATGAACTAACATATTCCATCTGCAACAATTTTTGAACTATGCAACTAACTCTATCCTTTTTCTTTTCCATTTTCAGCCAAAGAAATACTCTCCAAAGCCAGAAAAACATTTCAAAGAAATGTTGAAAACTGACTACTAACCTTTTCCATATTTAGATTTTAATAGTTAAACCTCTATAATGTAATTTCCAGTAAGAATAACATTAACTGGTCGATGGCACAACAACCTTGTAATAATTCAATAAAAATAATAAAACTTTATAAGATAAGCAACAACATCCATTCCTCCTAACTTTTAGGTACTGCTCTCTTTATTTTTTTTTCAAAATTGGTCACTATCTTAGGGAAGCATAAATTTTTTTTTAAACTCCACCAACACAGAGATTTCTTATTGAGAGACTATAAACATATTCCTCACTCATAAAAATAACCTTTGTATAAGAATCAAGTTTGAATCACTGAAATGGAAATAAATCATATCTCTATATTTTTCAAGTTGTAAAGCACTTTATTACCAGTGTGTCAGCTTATTTCGGATTTCTTATAGCAAAAAGTATGTTTTACTACACTGATAGCAGCGAGACTGAATCTTAGGTTACGTAATCAAAACTCCTTAAGAGGTAACATGGCATAGTTGTTAGAAGCACTCCCTGGAGACCTAAGCTTCCTGGCTATCAATTGCAGAGCTGCCACACTGATCAGCTCAGTAACCCTGCTCAAATTACTCTTTATTCCAGGCCTCAGCCTCCTCATCTGTGAAATTATAATAGTGTTTCCCAGGGATGTTTCGAGGATGCCATACAATAAGACTTAGGTAAGTACTACCTATTACTGATCTAAGAATTCTTATTTTAGATGCATACACAGCTTTAATGAATCTAAATGGATAGCAGGACAAATTTGACATGAGCAATTTTTCAAGAAAAATTATTTATTTACTTTTAAGAGAAGAGACTCAGTAAGTTGCTCAGGCTGAACTCAAATGCCTGGGCTCAAGTGATCCTCTCACCTCAGCCTTCAAAGTAGCTGAGAGTACAAGTGTGTATCACCGTGTCCAGTTAATTTTTAAAAATAAACAACTAAAAAGCTTTAGAATAGTTGCAGACTTACAGAAAAATTGCAAAGATAGTATAAAAATTGCCCATATCCTCCAAGAAGTTTCCCTTATTAACATTTTATGAGGTGAGCAACTTTTAGTGATAGCTCAATAGTGGAAGGTCATTTATTCTCAGCCAGTAAAACTATAAACTTAGTTAATCTGTAATTTCAGTAACCCACCTACTGGAATAAATTTTGAAACTTTTAAGTAACATAGTATAATTAGTAAGTGGTAAATTTAATGTTTCAGTAATAGCACTGCACATACTATACAAACGTAAGATGTTTTACAGTCTCATTAAAAAGAAATAAAATGAAAAAGTTATTTTAGTGTGTATAATTACTTCTATGTACATATTAAAGTTGCAAATTAAAATGTAAAGTAGAAAATAAAGCTGGGATATTTAAACAGATACTTCATAATTTTAAAATTAAATAAATTTTCTTAATATCATAAAGTAAAACTACATAAGGGCAATGTGGGCAAATACATTTTGAAATCAGAATTCTTAATTTATTTCCTCACTATTAAAGAATAATATTTCTAATAACATAATACAAGAAAGGCAAATTTTTCTGAGCTGGTAATTAAAGAGGTAAAGAGGTATATCTACAGAAATGTTACAAGAGGTACACAACATTAAACGTAGACATGAACTGCCCCATTTAGTAGCCACTAGCCACATGTAGCAAATTTAATAAAAATTAAATTCTTCAGTTGTACTAGAGCCACAAGTCAAGGACTCAGTAGCCACACGGGGTTAGTGGTTACAACACTGGAAAGCACAGACAGAGAGCATTTCCATCAGTGCAGAAAGTTTTATTGAAAAGTACTGCTCTAGATATGAACACACTGTTTAACCACACTTAACTGAGTTTTACCCAATAGTCCTAACCTCTTATCCAAACAAATTCTTTTTATTAAACTTGCAAAAAAGAAGCAAGGGGATAAAAGCAGGGTTTTATCTCCTTTTCTGAAATGTTTAAGAGGATGAAAAGGAAGAGAGCCTGGCCAATTCCCACATCAAGACAAATGGCCACCAAGAAATGAAAAAATTGCTGAGGTCCTCAAAGCCATTGCTGTACTCACGTGGCAGGGTAGCAGTGGGCCCAGTGGCCAGGAGGATGCCTCTTCAGGGGTACACTTCCTCACTAGGGGGAGGGGTCCCCATGTGGGGCCTCCGTACTGGTGGGACCTTCCCCATTATGGGACTGGGGTTTCTGCCAGTGAAAAATGGGAAATTCCATTGTTAGCCAGCTTTAAAACTTTCCCCCTTTGAGATATTAAAAACACTGCTTACTGGATTAGTTAATTCAAAATAGAATTATATGAGATACGTTTTTAGAACTGATGACTCATGACGTGTGACTGATTCTGTTGGCCCCTGAGTCTCCTAGAAAAAATAACCTGCAGTATTACCAGAACTGTCATAAGAATCTTCAATCTTATTAAATCTGAAAAAGATTAGGTTGAACCAGATAATGGTTTTTCCAATCAGGATAAAACATAAGGATAATTGTCTTTTAATTATCAGCAATGGACAGTGGTGAAAAGAGCAAATGTAATCAGAAATAACAAAAACCTCATCAAGCTCCACAGCTTCTCATTCTTACCCCATCCAAATTTTTAAGACTGGAGTTGAAAATAAGAAGCAAATATTTAAATTCCATCCAGTTACTTCCTGTGAACATTCTGAGATTTGGTACTAAAATAATGATGATGTAATGGTCAATGGAAACAAAGATCTGTTGTTTTATTCTCCAAACAAATTTTTAGAAATCCATGTAAGCAGTCTGTTGACATTTAAAAATGTGGCTAACAATAAAAATCTCCCCTACACTTACAAAATGTTTCTACTTCTACAAAATGAGTATTCATTGTTTGGGCTGCAGCACACACAGTTCAATGGAAAGTGACAGGTGTCTTTCTACTGACGTTCTGGAATTCCGTAATAGTTACCCTAAATGGTAACAGTTTAAACTCTTTCTGCTAGTACACCTACAGTGGCATATAGCATACCTTTGGGCAGTTAGGTAAGAGGCCAATTCAATAGAATTCTGGATGATGGATATCACATTTCTAAAAGCCAATGAAAAATCAGAAAATATAAGTTTGTGGTGAACTCCATGAGAGGAGACAGAAGAAGAAGTAAACAGATGGAACTGTGCACTAAAATTCGTGACATTATTTTTCCCACCAGGTACCACAGATCCTGGATATGCCTGACTTAACTCTCCCAACCTCTGGAGTTGAAGCTTTCCCCCTCTAATCTCTTGAAACTAAGCTCCCAAACAGCAATTCAGAGGTCAGATTACTACAAACTGCACTTTTCTGTCTATAATACAAGGAGGGTGGGTATAGAGAAAGGAATCATAACCAGGAAAAGGTATTTTACACAAAATTAGGTAACACATTTTATGTCCAAAACTTGAGTGATTCTCTGGGGTACCTCTTGGTGCTATCATAGCCAGTGCTAACAATAAACAGGAAATTTCAACAACAATGGACCAACAACAGCAAGGCAACTAAGGGCTCACACATTTGAGGGATATAAGTCATATTTTATTTCAGCAGGCAAGCAATACAAATTGGCAAAAAAACAAAAAAAAAAAAAACAAAAAAACCCCCCAAAACAGTGAAGGAAACCTAAAATGAGTAATAGAAGATGTGTATCAATTACAGCCTCACAGACAGCTGCAGCAGAAGTGACTGTAATTTGTTTCTCTAACTCTCCTAAAGTCTTTTGGACACTGTGGCAGGGTTCCACCTTGAAGGGGATTCAGTTACTGATTGCACTTTACCTCTGATCTCAGGGAACAAGTGAGGGCATTTTATTCTCACAAAAAATGGAGGCCTCATATTGTAGCAGGGAAGCCACGTATAATGTACAGCCTAAATGGATCTCAGTGGTAAAAGGGCTATATTATACTGGGGATCTTTTATGCACCATTCCGATCTTCTCAACCTTACTTGTATCTTATTCCAGCTGTCTCACCAGCACCAGTTTCACATAGGTACATCTGACAAGTTCCCTGTCTTACGCCTGGGGGGCAGTTCTTGCCTTGTACTGAATAGCATCTGTGTTGCCGCTGCTTTGGATCCCCACTTGCATACCCTCCTCCCCCTCCCCCCCACCATGAGGAATTAATATACTGAAGGGTGAATCTTTGGCCAATGGGAGACAGAAACTACTGACAAAATTCTTCCTCCTTTCTTCTCTCACAATGTACAATCTTAAGGCACAGTTTATTATAGTTTTCAGGAAAGAACCTAGAGGACCGAGTGATGGCAGGTAACACAATAGCTTATCCACGTATTGGCTTTCCACCCGTACCAAACCATATTTTCCATGTTTCTTACTCTACTTTTTAGAGATTATGTTCCCTAATAAATAGCATATGCCACTCTGCTTCAGGCTCTTCTTAGTGGGGAAGCTAAGCTAAGACAGATCTGATGGTCTGTGGTGCCTTTATGATATTTGAGGTCATTCCTCTGGAGTTCAGAAGCCACAGGCAGAGATGAGATCACTCAGAGGGAAAGATAGAGTAGGAAGAAAAAAGAGAAGAAGACCTAACACTTGGTCCCTTAATGGCCACGAGAAGGATAATGGCCAGAAAAGAAGACTGCCGTATGGCCACAGAGGTGAGTAAAAAACTGTAAAGTACTGTTGCTATTGTGAGGGAGTTTGGTAGGGGACATAGGTAATACACATCTAATAAGTTGTTGATTTTAAATTACCAAATTTGGTTCAATTATTAATATAGATACTTGATATAGTGTATTTATCTAAGAAATTTAAACAATATGCACTGAAAATGAAGTAGTGATGGAGGAAGTTTTTTCAAACCACATTCCTCAGAGGGGAAACCCCAGGCAGAGCTATAGGAGAGCAGAGGAATCAGTAACCAGGCCCCCTTATCAATGCAGCTCTACAAGGCAAACTGGTAGTGGATATAGAGTGAGGACAGGATGATCTGGCTGGCTAAGTTATTAACTGAAAAAATTCTACCTTTTGAAAATTTCTTTTGGATTTAAAAAAAAGCTCTGACATCACAAAATAAAAGCTCATAAAACATGCTTTTGTAAGATCTTATAGAAAACAACACAGGAAGCTCAGTGCCTTATGTAAGGCATTTTAATTTAGTAAACTTAAAACTGTACTTTATAGTAAGACTTTCTTCTTTACACACATGGGGGCATAAGTGTTCATAAAAATGCTTTATATGTTTTTATGAACACTTAGGTTCAGAAGACAGATTTTAATACTTGGGATTTATCACAAGGCTAAGGTAAGAAATAATGTCATCCTCTCTTACAAGAAGTCAGACAGGTCCTTTTTTGGGGGATGTGTGGGAGATTAATGCTATATATTCATCAGTTGCAGGATTCATTTTTTAAAATTTAGAAATGTTTTGGCATTCTCCTTAAGTTCATTAAAACTTCTCTTTAGTGCTTTCAGTTTGGTGTAAATAAAAGGATCAGTTCTGCCTGATTTTCATCTTTATCTCTTGTCTGTTTCAGTCAACATTCCTTATCCTATTGTTACTAATGTTTAATGAGGTCTTCATTAAAATATACTTATCTTCTTTTACTACTAGACAGATTTCATTTTTGTAGCATGTATTACACAGGCCATGTAAGTCCAAAGTTATAATTAGCAATAGAAAAGTCAGAGAATTAAAATCTAAATTTATAACTAACAATATGAACACTGGGGTACTTCAATTTAAATCACAAAGCAATGCTTTGTAATAATGTTCTTAAAGTACTTAAATAAATATGAAACATCCTTGAATATAAGTTGGTACACCAAAAGCAAATGTGTTTCAAAGGACCCAAATAAAGATTTTCATTTTCTGACACTGCTTTTGGTAATTTAAAAAACAGGACCTAATTAAAATATTTAGCTCATGATATCACCTAAAATGTTGTACAGTTAACAACTTCCTTTCAAAAATAATAGCATAAAGCAATATTGAATACACTATGACTTAAAGATAAGACAGAATCAATGCTGCCTATCAGCGATGTTGGGGGCCTGCCTCAACCACATGACCATTAGGAATAAGTCAGTGGGCTCCTCTGATAAAGTCTGTGCTTCTTTGCAATAACATAACCATTTGTCTCCCTACACAGAGATGGTGGCATCTCCTCTACATATCAAGTTTACTTCCCCAACTCTTTGATACATGCCCACTTGACAGGTACAAAGGCTGCCTGCCAACGGCAGGATAGATACTAGTTTTCATTTGATGCTTCAGAATACCCAACTGATACAACACCAGGTCAAACTATTTCAGTGGTTTGCAAGTCGGTCTAAAAACCCCAGCACTTTTACACTGGAGCTCAGTATCCAAACAGTCAATTCTCTCTTTAGAATTCTAACTAAAATCTCAGTGGCAAGGGATTTTTAAAATAGCCTCTAGGTGTTTCAAGTTTCCTGTACTTGTTTCAGCAGATTACTGACCCTGCCTAAAAATAAGCAAGTCTCTTAGGATTTAAATATATAGCTTCATTGCTGGGAGTCAGCAACAGCCAGTTACAGGAAGAGCAGGAAAAAAAGTAGGGGAGACAAATTGGCAGGAAATGACTTCAGGACACCCCCCCAACTTTTTTTTTAAAATCCAAGTCAAAGAATAACTCAGCTCTTTATACTTATATCTGAAAACTATTTCCCTGGAAATGAAATTTCTAAGTAATATACAGATCAATTTAACTAGACTGAAACATTTAGACTGATCTTACCTAATGGCTCTGTATTTCAAAGCCTGCCAGATTTGTTTGGCTGGTATAATCTGACCACTTCCTTTTTATCAAGAAATACAATTTTCTCTTTTGATGCTGAAAGATTTCTGTTCACACAGTATTGAACGTGGGTCTGTTTATAGATCTTGAGGTAGAAATGTTAACATGGAGATAAGGTAGGTCAGTATTTTACATCTTATTAGGTATCTATATAAAAAGATAAGATGGCGTGGTTCAGTGGCTCATGCCTGTAATCCCAGCACTTTGGGAGTCCGAGATGTGAGGATCGCTTGAGGTGAGGAGTTTGAGACCAGCCTGGGCAACATAGTGAGACCCTGTTTATATATATATATAAAGTATAAAAGAATATATATATATATATATATATATATATATGAATGCCTGCAATGAATAAGTACAGCTTCTCTGGCTTCACTGATAGTATACACTTGAGGTCAGGTAGGTTTCATGGCCATGAAAGCTCAAACCGTATAGGTTAAAACACAAAATGGGCTACTAATGGATAGCACTATGGTACTTTAGTTATATATCTGGATTGAGGAATGGGGTGGGAAATACAATTCATTTTGGCTGAAAGTGTTTAAATTACTTAAATACATTAAAATAAAAACAAACGCCGGGCGCGGTGGCTCAAGCCTGTAATCCCAGCACTTTGGGAGGCCGAGGTGGGTGGATCACGAGGTCAAGAGATCAAGACCATCCTGGTCAACATGG